AGAAAATACTACAAACGGCACAGTGAACGCCATCTGTAGCACGATGCTACATTTTAGGATTACGTATTTTTCAACAAGGTCCACTTGTGTGGATATCTACTTGCTGAAAACGAATCCTGGCGTAGCTAACCTCAACGTGATAGGCACGTTACTATAATCGAATAAAATAATTCGAAGTGGTCTGTATTAAAAAAATACGTAATCCTAAAATGTAGCATCGTGCTACAGATGGCGTTCACTGTGCCGTTTGTAGTATTTTCTGAAATCTATAATTATTTGAATGTAAAGTAGGAATTATGCTGCTGTGAATGCTTACCTGATACAAGGAATTCCCCGTCACGTACGACTTGATATAATGCGATCCAAACTTTTTAATGAACATAAGAACACTGGCATAATCACCCACTTTAATACCGTCCATTTCCTTTTGCACCATTTCCACCAAGCTAACGTTTTCAGGTAACCTACCCAGTTCCGACCTGTCGCGAAACCTACTCAAACGCACCAATACGTAACAATAGTCCCCGTGTGTAAACGACGAATTGATACCCAGATTTCTGGCAATGGCTTCCGGTAGCCAACTTCCGGTAAACGCGCGCCACGGTCTTTTTAGTTTTTCGAAACTGAAATCGCGAAAATAGGCCTGGAGCAATTGGTTGAGATTGTCGCAGAATTCCATGTGGAAGTCGCCCTCGAAGACCACATTCTTTGGAGCTTGTCTGGAGCGGACGAGGTGGTCTACGTTGTTGAAAATGTCTACAGTTGGTTCACGAAAAATCCAAGTTGGTACGCTGTCATTTCTCGGCACAACCTTCATACTAAGGCTTAAATAACCATACCTAAAATAAAAAACAAATTTTCATTCATTTGCTATCGAAAATACTATACGAAAAGGAGTAGCGCATTATCATCACTTTTGAGGTCCTGGACAATTAATTCGGAAAGTGGAAAATTCATTATAAAATGAGGTGCTATGGGTGGATGAAAATGCCGTGGATAGAAAAAATTAAAAATGACGATAGTATTTCAAAAAGTAGAAGAACAGACAGTTATAAAGTTACAGTAGACTAGCAGGCAAACTCATCGAAAGTGTGCTTCTTAGCAGAAAGAAACAGAAAATTAAGACATCATCTATCTATCTTTAAATTGAGCAAGCACAATTGATAGTCAGATGTGCTACATACATATGATACCAGCAAGTCAGAAATGCCATTAAATAGAGATATATTATATATATATATATCCATTATATTTGGTTTCATATTTGAAAATTATTTGACAATAACATACAGAAAGCAGGAATACCAAATTGATAATACAAATACAAAAATCTAAGATCATCCTTAGCCTGTTCGTTCTAAAATTGGTTGGACATAAACATACATTACCCAGTTTCAATTTTTGACGGGACAACGTCTTATAATTCGATGGAGCCGGCTGCACGCACGAAAAAACATGACTCATGCGGCGTTACCTTGCTCTGAGGCGTTCCATTTAAGGCTTGAAGTGTAAGCGAGAGCGCGGAATGAGCGACAAAGAGGCACAATCGGCCCCCGCGTTTGGCAGCGTTCGTCTCTCTCCTACTTGAGTGAGCGATGCGTCCGCGTGGACAGCTGCTATACAATAATACATTTTCATTTACCTCCTTCTCTATATCCATACAAAATATCTATCAAACAAATAAAATTAAAATTTTCTTTTGAAAAATGAAACCATTGCATCAGTATTTTCTTATGACGTTGTCACGTTCAACTATCGTCAGTAAACCAACTTTACAGACAACCGATTTTTTTTCTATCGTTTTCTCTATTGTTACCCGTAAAGCTAGAATGGCCTCCTGCGTTCCTCTATTTCTTCTAAACCCAAATTGATATTCCCCTAAATAGTTCTTCCGCTCTTTTTTCCATCCTCCTCTGTAAAATTCTACTTAAAAGTCTTGACGCATGGGAAGTTAAGCTAATTGTGCTAAATATCTTGTACCTATCCGCGCCTCTCTTTTTAGATATGATTACTACCAAGTTCGGTTGTAGCAGCTCAAAAAAAGTTACAATTAATATACGCATTTACTTATCAGCTCGTTCTTAAACGAATTTTTCTTTCTAGTAAGTTAGATAGGTACTACTACAACGAAAGGATATTTGTAATAGTATTACAAATGAAGTAAAGATTTGGTAAAAAGGATCAATCAGATAGCTTGCACATACAAGCATTTTTCTAAATTAAGAAATTCAGCAATTATTTGTCTTTTACATAGAAGACTTTCTCCCATATTCAAACCACTTTTCACTGCTTACTGAGGTGCGATGCCCAAATTATTCCTTTAAGTTATAGAGGGTTTTTATTTTAAGTAAAAGTAAAAGGGAAGGGAACACAAAATTTTATGAATTTATAGAGGTTATTACGTTATCGAGGTTTAAGTTATCAAGGTTATACTGTATCTTTATTGTTACGATATTTATTAGTTCCTTTTCTTAAGAAGACACCCCTTAAGTCAGTATAACATGTTTACTAATATCTACTCTCTTAATGAATCTACAATTTTGGATCTTAGTTAGTAATAATCTAACTCTTGAACGTCAATATTAGTTAAATTCTGCATTTTCTACGACATCACCCTCATTTATAGCTTTGCCCCATTCATTCATGATAATTTCTTCAGCCAATCAAATTCAAGTATTCTTTCAGACGCCAAAACTCACACACCAATCAAAATCAAATATTCCCAAACGCCCAACATCTAAAACCTTCTCAGTAGTCACGCAGGATAAATTTTCACGATTTCTTCTTCTGTCACATTTACCTAAACATCCTGATGTAAATCCTTGCCTTATCTATGTATTAAAGGATCAAACTTAAAACGTTGACCCGACTGAACCATGTAAACCATGATAATCAATGTTTTTAGTGAGAAGTAGAAATCAGTGACTACCTCTAACACTGGTTAAATAAAGTGTTTTAATATGATGATACTTTGGTGTTCTGTAATACGTTGCGTAGTGTGATGCTTTCGGTTTATCCTATGTAAAGCTTCCAATAGGAGCATGGAATTTTGATGCTGAATAATGTTCTTTTTGGAACATTAGTGGAACGATGTGCACAAATACGTTCAATAAAAAAGAGAAACACTTACTTCATCATCATCATAAGGTCGCCAGTCCTAAGACTGCTTGGACACGTACCTCCACTCTTTCCTATCCTAAGCTAAACTTTGCATTTCCCTAAAACTAGAACAGCTCACATCCTTAACTATTTGCGAACAGTAATCTAACCAAGGTCTACCTCTACTCCTCTTAACTCCTGTTTCTGCCTCTAATATGTCTCTGACTAGACCTTCATGTCTGAGAAGGTGTCCTACCAACCTATCTCGCCTATTTCTTGTTGTCTTCCATAAACACTTACTTTTAGTGGTTTAAAAGTAGAAAAGTAATTCAGAAAAAGAAAAACTTATTGTGTATAAAACACCTAAATTGCCAATACTAAACTGCTTCGTTATGGTTTTACCACATACCCATATTCGCCAATACGATGTGAACTAGATTTAAAAAGTACAAAACTACTCCCTTGAACTGTCTCCGTAATCGGTTCGATTTGCTCCAAATGTTTCTCAGTTGATCGAAGTTTGAAACTTTTTCTGTCGTGTTAGGTCGTTTATCAATCTTTGTTAAATTAAATTTGCTTTTGCCACCCGTCATCTGTGTTCAACGTAATACGCGTTCAATGTAGTTTTTTCAAAAGGAAAATTCGCGATTTCCAACCAAACAAGAACATACAAAAGGTTTTCCATTTCTGACTCAATGAAACAGAATTTTATATACGCTTGTATTTGTATAACAAAATAACGAAAATTTTCTACAATAGTTAAAATGGTCAAAAGGGTTCCTAATAAGTTATCTAAAATTGAAAATAATTAGGAATAATATTTTTTTGGTTAAATTCCACATTTTGAAATATTTCAATCGAAAAAGAACCATGAATCATTATACATATTTATTGACATGGCAATGTGGCTATCATTTTCTTTTTCATTTTTAGGGTTCCGTATCTCAAAAAGAAAAAAGGAATCCTTATAGGATTACTTCGGTCCCTGTCTTACTATCTGTCAAAATCCTTTTTCTCAAGGATTTTCTCTGTCAAAGAATGAGCTTCTAAGTTAATGCAATCAAAAGATACGGCCGTTTATGCCTCATATGTATCTACTTCCCGCCGACTTCATGAAATTTGGTTGGCGAAAAGCCAAGGTCCTGTAGCACAAGTAAACGGAAAAATATGAAAACTGTAAATTTGTAGTTACATTACAAAAAAAATAATTTTTTAATTGTAATATTGTACTTTTACTAATTTTGGGCGAAAAATTAAAACATACTCGAAAAAGGAGAGAAAATATTCAAAACTCGATTGAAGTGAGGAACGAACCTTTTACATTATACCTACAAGTTTGTACAGAACTCCCGGTGCGCTGTAATAATGAGCAAAATTGGTCTTGGTCTTACGAAAATGCAAGACTGTATTTATACTAGTAAGACCAACACCAATACCGAACGAACAACTAAACGACTAAAACCAACACTGAATATGCAGGACTATGACTAAATACTTTCGGTGGATTTATGAGTTAAACTATTTGAAGCAATTTTAATACATTCTTTTCTTGGAACAAAGCATTTTTAGTATTTGAAATTTCCAGTTTGCTTTACTAGATTTTAACACTAAATATAAAAAAAAAAAGAAACTACCACTGTTTGAAAAAATTAATCTATAAGAATGTCCTCCGAGTAAGTATTCTATATAAGTTCCTATGTCTGAATAACACAGTTTAAATATAGAGCCAAACTAATTTCTTTTCTATATTTTTTAATTCTTTGAAGTACCTTGTACTATTTGGTTCACTAAAAAGGTCAATTAATGCGTTTGCGGAAGGGTCAATTTACGCATTGGAAGAAGGGTATGTTTTCATAAATATCATAACTATCGACAGAATTTTCTTTAAAAGTCAAGATAAGCTCGCACGTATGACAATAAATTTCAGCATTTAATACAATAATTTAACGGTAAATAGAAAAATTTGTGTTTAGAAAAAATATTTAAAAAAAGGCATTATCAAATTAAATGAGCAAGACCAAGCCCTAACATGCAAGACAAAGACCAAAACCGAGACTATATTAGCAAGACCAAGACCAAGTCCGACGAAGTAAAGCCAAAACCAATACGGAGACTGAGACAGTCTTGGTTTGCTCATCACTAGGTGACTGTTTTTCTTCCAATGCGGGTCATTTAATGACTTTAATGTAGTTCAAAAATATTGCAGTTAAGTATCTCAAAATATACTCAATTTTTACCCACTACACACTTCCTCAAATTAATGAGGAAAAATTTCTTTTTTGTTGCTGTTGTCACACCCCCGCCGGGAATCGAACACGGGCTCTTTGGCTTTACGCGCCAATGCTTTGACCACTAAGCTACGAGAGATGACAACAGCAACAACGACAAACCGTACTTATTAGGTCACAGATCTGTCGAACTAATGTAAGTATATACTGAATATAAATATATATACAATGTAGAAATCTTCCCGAAGTGAATTAGTTTTTAATATGAAATATTCTCAATTGTTACCCATTACACACTTCCTCAAATTAATGAGGAAAAATTTTTGTGGCTGTTGTCACACTCTCGTAGCTTAGTGGTCAAAGCATTGGCGCGTAAAGCCAAAGAGCCTGGGTTCGATTCCCGGCGGGGGTGTGACAACAGCAACAAATTTTTCCTCATTAATTTGAGGTAATGTGTAATGGGTAAAAATTGAGAATATTTCATATTAAAAACTAACTCACTTCGGGAAGATTTCTACAATGTATGTATATCTCAAAATATACCCTACTTTTCTAAACACTGAACTGAACGTACCACCCATCAAAACATGAAATTGCGTTTATTGGACATATTACTTTAATATTTATATGAAAAGATGGTAGAAGGCTTTTGGATATTTTAATTAAAATCACCTCGTTCAATATTATTAATTTCATAACTATTTTAAAATGTATTTTTGATGCACATATTTGTTGAGTCGTTCTTGATAATTTTCTTTCGAAGTGGGTTTGTTCAATTTACAGATTTTTTTACTAACTGGATTTCAAGTACGAAAGATTTAGTCTGACCATGACATAGTGTCACTTAATGGCGTTTATTAGAAATTAAAACAGTCGTTTCGCAAACAGGTAAAAATTGTTAAAATACCAAATAAATAAATGTGAGCCACGAGGCCATAGAATCCTAGATCATCAAATGCTGTTATTAATAACAAAATTCTTGAATTTGTTTTTATTTTCTTTTCTACTGAAAATAACAAGTAAGAAATATAGATACCTTTATCAAATTACCAATCACCTGCGTTGAAAATTTTATCAATTTGACAGACCAACTTAAAAATTGTATTACATATATTCCTTCATCCAAATCCTTACAATTTCTTTAAGGATAACTTCGAAAAAGATTGTTTGGAGCCCGGCGCTATACAGGTGCTAAACATGGACGGTGTGCGCTGCGGAAAGGAAAAGCTTAGGAACGTTCGAAATGTGGTGTTATAAGCGAATGATGAGGATACCGTGGGTAGGGGTTAGAAATGAAAAGGCATTAAAAAAATATAGAAGAACAGAGGACTATATGGGAACAGAAATAGGCAAAAGAGGTTGGTAGGACACCTTCTCAGGCATGAAGAACTAGTCAGAAACGTATTAGAGGCAGAAACAGGAGTTAAAAGGAGTAGATGTAGACCTAGATTAGATTACTGCTCGCAAATGGTTAAGGATGTGGTTTGTTCTAGTTTTAGGGAAATGCGAAGATTAGCTCAGGATAGGAAGGAGTGGAGGTGAGTGTCCAACCAGTCTTAGGACGGACGACCTTATGATGATGATGAGGAATGTAAACATTAATACTATCGTATCCTCCACGGTATGTACCATGCCTCCGACCTGCAGAAGATCTTCCTCAGGTCGACGTCACAACGGGGTCACAATCTGAGGTTGAACGTGTCGCGTTTCAAAACGCAACACCGAGAGCACCACCTGGGCAACAGGATTATGTCCACATGGAATTCTCTTCCGGCGAGCATAGCCCAGGCCCCGAGCATCGATGTCTTCAAGGCGTCTTTGCACCGTCACCTGTTTGGATCTACGAGATGAGCTGCCAGGACCCGGGGGGGGGGGTTTCAATATGATCTCCTACACAGTTTTGTTCTCTATAATTTGTATTTTCTGAAATGTAGACTACTATACCAGTTTGTAACTGCTGCCTACTTCAAATAAATAAATAAATAAATACTATCGGTATGATTCCCATCCTCATTCACCAATTGGCAACATTTTTCCCAAGTTTTGAAATCCCGATATTCTCCTAACACGTGTTTGAGATATTCTACCTCCTTGTCACATACCCTATACATCGTCTGTCCTCATCCGTCTATCAATATTCCACTACTATCTACTCGCACATATATCCTATACCTTCTTCTTCCATATTTCCTTCGTGATGTCCCCTAACCTAACCTGACCTTGATCGCTTTTTCCCACATCTTCCTACATTTAGTCTCCCTTCTTACTACATAATCTGTGGTACTTCTCTCTATCTGCAATATCCACTTTATATATCTTTTATACATATAAAACCTTCATCTCCTTTTATCTATCTATTTCTATCTATTTTTATTGAGCCTTTATTTTTTTATTCAATATATTTTCATTTAAACAAGTTTTTACATAAGCACTAACAAATGTTACTATAAGGGACCTTCAGCACAAGAATCAAATTAGTTTTTGTTAGATTTTTTTAAATGATACCAATTAGCATTAACCTTTAAAAATATAGGTAACAGCAGAATATGTCACAACCACTAACTGCATTTCAATACAAACTCCAAGTTGTGCAGGCGACGTGTACATAATTAAAATGAATTAATTGTGAGCTGCAGCCTATGAAAGAAATGAGAATCCATCAATCTAGTCAGTTTTTCACAAAAATAAAAGAAATTGTTATCACATCTTCGACATCCGTTTTCCTCGAGATTTGTCTAAAATCTTAATTATAATAATAAATACCGTAATGACGTCGTATTAGACGAGGTAATATCCCTAGACAAAAATTTTCAGTCTCTCTCCAGTCTCAAGAGTCTTTCAGCGTCTCTGAGAGCGTCTCTCACAGTCTTTCAGTTATTGCCTAGGTGTTTTTATGGATCTCTCACGGTCTCTGTATGAGAGACTCGAACGATAAAATTGTTAATTCAGAGATTCGAGTCTCTCACAGAGAGACTGAATAAATAAAACTGAAAAATTGAGGGACTCGAGTCTCTCGTAGAAAGACTGGGATCTCTGAAATATGTTGAACATAGAAAATTTTAACCATGTTTCTCGAGACCCCACTTATTGAGAGATTCAAGTCTCTCGTTTAGAGACTGGATACGAAATGAGGTCTCTCTATGAGCGACTCGAGTCTCTCGTTCAGAGATTCGAGTCTCTCGTTCAGAGACTGGATACGAAATGAGGATCTCTCTATGAGCGACTCGAGTCTCTCGTTCAGAGACGCTAAGCACTGTTTTTGACAGTCTCTCTCAGCGACACCAGAGAGACTCGAAGAGAGACGGAGACTTCAGTCTCACTTTCAGAGATTCTGAGAGACTGAATATTTTTATCTCAGAATACTATATATAGTTGGTTTTGGTTATTTGAAGTAAAAAATAAGTCTTTTTTTTTGTTGTTATAAATTTTGACCTTACAGAATTTTCATCAAAAGGTCTCACTTCAAAAAGCTAAATCATACAAAGGACATATTTTTGAGAAAAATCGCAATTTACTATTCGAACTGGTAGACCATCCTTCATATTCGCCTGATTTGGCACCATCTGACTATTGTCTATTTCCCAAACTAAGGGATAGTTTAAAAGGGTGCAGACCAGGAAGAAGAATTTTTTTCAAAAGCTTAGGGCCGCTGCCGAAAGTATATTCAGTTACGAGAGATTACTTGTATTGAGTTTTGTTTAAGAATTTTAAGCTTTTCTGTATTCTGTCTAACAGCTTATCAATACCCCCTCGTACAAGTATATAATTCAACAATAAAAAAATAATCGATAAGGCATTTAGCTAATTGTAGATGTTAATAATCGTGGGCTGCTCTAATCATGCTTCCGTGTTTTCGAAGCAGAATTAGAACCGAATTATAACCAACGTCGCCATAGATTATTAATTAGACGGCTTTGTTAATTTATAGAAATTAGTAATAAATAATGTGTATAATTAGACAATAAAATTAAAACTAAAAAGTAGAGAATTTAGAATATCTAGCTTTTTTAGATAGCGATACTATTTTATACTTAGGTATATTTAGAGATCAATCCTAGATTCTTCATTATTGATAAATGCGTTTATGAAATTAAACAAATCCTCTGGTATTTTTTTTATACTCCCACTTAACTACACATAATTTACTTTTGAAAATTTAGGGATTTTTTATTGATTCAGATTTAACAATGGTTTATTTCAGGTTGACAATGCGTTATCAGGTTTTTGAAAACTATTGCTAGGTTAATGCGACATCTAAGAAAATTCTAATAAGCCCCAACATTGACACAACTTAAGCATATCTGGGTTAAACAAGCGATAATAGTAATGGACCCATAACTCTTCTTATTACTGCACTTACTTTACGTTACTACCGATTAGTAGCAATTTTCGAACTCATGTAAATCTGTTTGTTGTGCAAAGTTTCTAAAGAAGTAATAAGTTCAAGACTATAAAAATAAGATCATAATACATTTTTGAACACTTCACTCTAAATTCTCTAATTCTCTAACATCCGCAGATAATGAATCCAAAAAAGAAGAAACAGCTACAATTATTCATGGAAGTAGCGCCTATTATGACTAAATCATATGACAGCATTTTTCTTTCAGCATAAAAAGTACCCTATGTCCTTTTCTGTACCCTTCTATCCTTTGGGAACAGTATTCTTTTTCTGGATGAAAGGTACCCCATGTTTTTCTGTACCCCTGACAATGTGTCTACAAAATTTCATGATCGACTGTGTAGTTAAGGCGTGAAAAACAGACAGACAGACAAACACATTCGCATTTATAATATTAGTTAGGATTTGTAAATAGATTTATAATTTTTATAGTTGTTATATTTAATTTAAGTATTTCGTCGGTATTTTATGCACACAATTACGTTTTTTACAGATTTTTAGCGTCAGTAATTTCTCATTTTTCTCCCTACTTTATTTCAGAATTGAACAATAATAATAAAAGACTACAACTGATTTATCACAGCGGTAACTTTATTAGCTTTTAGTAGATCTTTAGTTATACGAATCCTATAATGGAAAATTTTAATTATGGGATCAGTTTGTGTTGAATTCTTACGATATAATCGAAAGCATTTCGGCTCTATCGCATCCGTCGATAGTTCCCGAATGGTACACTATGCATTGTTAATAGCTTATTAATACAATTGACGTTAATCTTACCTTGTAAATAGATCGATCGAACGGCCTACTTTGAGCTGAGTATCGAAATTACTGTTGTTATCCTGGTGGGCGCTTTCGCCAACGGCATGGAGCGCGGTCACTAGCACGAGCAGAAGTGCTCGGCTCCACATCCTTGCCGCGACTGCCACCACCTGCAACAGATACGAAACAAATCAACTCAAACGACGTCGACAGCCACAATATTGTTGTTATTCTGTACATTTCCGTATAATATACACACCCGTAAATATACAAGCATTCATACATACATATATATTCATTTGCACGTATGTATGTACGTTCTAATGTGCTATAAATTGTATACATATATGTATGCATATTATATCTTATCTTTAGAACAGTAACAGCGGTAGCAGTGTGGTAGTTTACAAGGCACAAGGCACCCCACTGTTATCTCAGATTTACGTTACATGTTTGGCGTCGCGACGCATTGCGTCAAGTATCTACTATTAAAAACCTTAGAGTTGTTTCCAGTAAGAGACTTACGTCGGGGATAGTAAAAATGGGTGGAGGAATTGGGAAAGACATTTTAGAACACTAAGCAAGTGCTTTAGGTCGGAAAGGATTCATGGCAGCGCAAGGGGTGGAGGTGTAAATGGAAAATTTGAATAAGGAACTAACGTAGCCTAAAGATTAAGGTTAGGGAATCTAATCTAGCACAGGTAGTAAAAGCATTTTTTGAAGTGAAACTTCTTTACGCACGGTAGGGTAAGTTCGTTTCATGCGAGTTGCTATGTAACGAAATCATGCAACGCATTTCACCCGCTGTCTGTCCCTATGTATACTTAGATCTTTAAAACTACGCAACGGATTTTAATGCGGTTTTTTTAATAGATAGAGTATTTCAAGAGGAAGGTTTATATGTATAATACATGCATAATATTGAAGAGAAACACTGAAAATTTTAGAGCTTTGTAATGTGGTGTCGTAAATAAACACATTTTTTGCGCTTACATTGCAATCGCTGACTGAACCCTACGAGATCGATCAAAATAATATACTACAGTATTGTACATGTTAAAAAGGTCTACGAAAAAGTCCGGGATGATATATGTCTATCTCTTAAGGATAACCCACAATAACCATTTTTTATCCTTTACTTTTTACGAGAAATAATGGCTTAGTTATGAAGCGATTTTAAGCAATACAGCATTAATCCTTATCCAATTAAGTACTTTTAAATACATTGTGAATTTAATATAGATCAATATGGCCCTTTACAGCATGTAATTTAAATGAATATTTTCGAAGATATTACAGACTTAAAATGCAGGGACATAGCGGTTATCTAATGACAAAAAAGCTGCGATTGTTGTATATAAAGACATTCTATAGTGTATTTACTATCAGCATTGCACCCGTCCGAAGCATAGTGTAGAAATAATACCATTAAACCAATTCCTTAACCCCTTATCCCGGTATGTTTGAAGAAGTTCCACTTCAGTAGCGTGTTGTATAATTACACGTTGTATTTTTTTTTAGAGTGAGGTTTGTTTATGTTGGGGTTCTAAACATAAAACGCCCCATAACTTTCCCTTTTATGTTAGATTACGTTAGGCTACGTAAGGATTGGGTAAGATTACGATTAGTTTCACAATAACCATTTTCAATTTTTATCTCTATCCTCTGCACCTATACGTCTCACCAGCTAAAAACAATTGTTCAGCATTCTACAAGGTCTTCCACACCCCTCAAATCATTTTCACCCTCTACAATCAATAAATAAAAAAGTTCGCATTATATAATAAGAAAAATTCAATTATAAATAAAGTTACCGTCAAAAAGGGTTAGCAGGCATTCATGCATTAACATTTCATTAGAAGTTTCTTATAGGTCTTATCCTTCTAAAGAGAAATCTGCACCCAAAGGGTAACTTTCAGAACCCTAGCGTTGTGACTGTGCTATCCTTCCGTTCATCTAACGAATGATTCTAACTTCTAAAGGAAATGAGATATCGTTCTTAAAGTCAATATGTAAAGTATGTGAATCAGATATGAAAATCGTATTTAAAGTTATACTTAAAGAACTTTGAAAAAGATATTATTTGTGTAAACAGGGTTTTATTATACAATAGAAATTGATTAAGCAACGATCCTATTGATCGAATGAATATTTTAGTTATTGATTTATACTTTTTTATATTTAAATACAATTTATAAAATGAATAGATGTTTTAGACTTTGAAGAAACGTTTTGTGGTTTTTCATACTTATAATGTAATTTCGCAGAACCGTGTGTGAAGAGATAAAAAATGTGGAAAATACAAAAATGTGTTTACAGAAAATTAATTTGACGCAGCATTTCCAAGATATAAGCAAACGTGTTTATTTAATTTATTTCTATTTAGGAATCAACAACAATTTTTAAGTTAACATCCTAAATCGTGAATGGATAGCACCTAATAATGTTAAACACACTAACTTCTGCTAAATTTTTGAACAATACATTTCTACATTACCTGACCCTTTTCTTAAGGGCATTGATTCCCTTTTTTATGTTGAATGCACGATAATAAAAAATTCTAGAGAATGATTTTTTTTCCATTTTACGAATGCAATGGAAATTTGGTACCTACATCTATTCAAACTATGCAAGATGGAAGTTTTTTTGATAATGGAAAGGAAAGAAGTAATAATTAAGAAAGGTTCATCACCATAAAATCGTCAGTCCTAAGACTAGTTGGACACGCATTAACACTCTTTTCTGTACTGAGCTAATCCGCGCATTTCCCTAAAATTAGATCATCCTACATCCTTAACTATTTACGAACAGCAATCTAATCTAGGTCTACCTTTAGTTCTCTTAACTCCTGTTTCTGTCTCTAATATGTCTCTGACTAGACCTTCATGCCTGAGAAGGTGTCCTACCAATCTATCTCGCCTATTTTTTATTGACTTCCATGGAGTCCTCTGTTCACCTATTCTTTCTAATACCTTCTCATTTCTAACCTCCTCTATCCGCGGTATCCTTATCATTCACATGCAACACCACATTTAGAACTTTTTCTTTTGCGCTGCACCCACCGTCCATATTTCGCACCCGTACAGCGCTGCGCTCTAAACGTACACCTTTAACAATCTTATTCGAATTTCTAAATTAATTGTTCGCAAGCAAAGAAGTGACTTCTTTTTATTGAAAGCGACCCTAGCCTGCGTTATCCTCTGCTTTATATCTCTACTACTTCTCCCGTCCTGACTTCCTAAGATACCTCAAAAAACAGCCACTTCTAATCTTTCGTTTCCTATTTTTCTATTCGCTCTTTCCCTACTTTTTCTTCCCTTGCATACCAGTATTTATGTTTTACAAAAAAAGGAATTGTGAAGATAAAACTTAAACTAAAAACATTAAAAATACAACTACTACAAGTGGAATCATTATTAATTCGTCGTTGTTAATCATTAATTTTTGAGTTGTATCTATACCTACAATAAATTACGAAACAAAATTTGGCTGACAATTTTGTAACTATGTATAATTGGAAGGTAGAATTACTAATTACAAGTACGAAAGAAAGGTTTCCTTCAATTTTGTCCAGTAGTTTCTACAGTATAATGCAATACCCAGTAAACTATATAATCCAATCTATCTACTTATTTATAGGCATTGGAATATGGTGTCGCTTACTAGTTAATAACCTTTCACAAATAATAATTGCATAATTCTAACCGCGAATTATGCTTCCGACATGATTAAAACACAACATTGTACGCGGGAGTTATTACTATATTATAAAAATTAAAACGAAACCGAAAACTATGAGTTTCGCGACAATTTTTAAAGGAGGTAAAGGCCAAGTGTCTAAGCTAAAATTAAAAAAATTGGAATCATCCAGTATAGTTAAAACGCGCACATCGACATGCTTAGCAGCTACTTTATTCATATTTAGACTGAATTGGATTGGATTTCCTTAACTGTACGTCCCGACGCCTTGGTGCGTCGTGAGAAAAAGATGAGGGTAACGACTTCCAAATTTGAGCTCTGTTTTGAGAAGCTAAGCTCAGGACAAAGTAAAATAAATACCTCTTTCATTTTTATAATGATATTTTGTCTTTCTTCTTATTTTCTAATAAAAATTATAAATGTTATTTACAGTTTTTCTGATACGATATTACTATGTTATAACTACAACTGGTGGGTACCTTTTAATCAGAAGGAGGGATCGCAAAAAAATGACAAATTCCCAAGGGCGTAACAGTAAAAATAAATTAGAGAAGCCCTGCAAAATGTATAAGAAGATAGGTTTCAACGGCAAACATGTAATTTGACACCAACTTCCATCTCAGTTAATATGTGGTCACACACTTTAGTAGTGGAGAGAGTTTGGCTCTTGTGTCACATTTGTGCTTTTAGTGAAACATTTTAGTTTTATTCTTTTGTTGATGTTTTCTTTATTTGGGTTTCGGAAGTACTGTTTGGGTCATCGTATGAAAATCGGATTAAAAATGACTTTCTTTTAACGACTTGAACAGAGGATAGCGCAAGGATCAGTCTCCTTTAACAAAAGAAAGTCGCTTCTATACTCACGAACGGTTAATTTAGAAAGTTGAAAAATAATGTTAGAAGTGTATATCTGGAGCACTCTTTGTATGGGTACGAACGACCCTATGGAAATTATTAATAAATAGACGAGATAGGTTGCTTGGACACTTTCTCCGGCATGAAGGACAGTTAGTTAGAGAAGTACGGATAGACGTAGGTTAAATTGCTGCTCACAATTAGTTAAGAATGTGGGATGTTATAGAAAATACCACAAATGGCGCGGTAAACGCCATCTGTAGTACGATGCTACATTTTAGGATTAGGTATACTCCAACAAGGTCCATTTAAATATATGGATATCTACTTGCTGAAACGAATCCCGGCGTAGCTAACCTCAACGTGATAGGCACGTTACCATAATCGAATAAAATAATTAAAAGTAGTCTATATTCTGTTGAAACTACCAGACGCGGATCGCGATTTCGATCTTTTTGGATCTCATCAGCGCGTCGCAGACAGCTCCAACAGAACACAGACCAATTTTTACCTGTTGTCTTAACAGCGCGTTTTAGAAAATACCACAAATGGCGCGGTAAACGCCATCTGTAGTACGATGCTATGTTTTAGGATTACGTATGCTCCAACAAGGTTC